GAAAAAGGACTATTTATTTATTTATTTATCAAATTTCTATACTGCCCTACTCCCGGAGGACTCAGGGCAGTGAACAGCCAGGATAAAATACAAATAATACAAATATTAAAAGTCCCTTAAAATTATTAAATATTTTGGCGGAAACACAGATTAAAACAATCAATTTATAAAATCAAACGAATTAAAAATTTAAAAAAGGAGAGTTAGGCCAGGCCAGCCTGCTGAAACAAAAAAGTTTTGAGAGCATGACGAAACGTGCGCAGGTCCGGGATCCTCCGTATCTCTGGGGGGAGCTTGTTCCAGATGGTAGGTGCCCCCACAGAGAAGGCTCTACCCCTGGGGGCCACCAGTCGACACTGTTTAGCCGACGGCACCCTGAGAAGCCTCTCTCTATGGGAGCATACTGGTCGGTGAGAGGCTATTGGTAGCAGAAGGCGGTCTCGTAAATACCCCGGTCCGATGCCATGGAGCGCTCTAAAGGTGGTAACCAAAACCTTGAAGCGCACCCGGAAGACCACTGGGACAAAGTGCAGCTCGTGCAGGAGGAGGGTCACATGGGAGCGCCACGTCGCTCCCATAACCACCCGCGCGGCTGTGTTCTGGACCAGCTGGAGCCTCCGGGTGCTCCTCAAGGGGAGCCCCATGTAGAGAGCATTGCAGTAGTGAGAAGGGGTCAACTTATTATCCAAAGCACCTGAAGGTAAGACAAGAAGCAGCAGATGGAAACTAATCATGGAGAGAAGCAACCTGGAACTAAGGAGAAACTTCCTAACAGTGAGGACAATTAACCAGTGGAACAGCTTGCCACCAGAAGTTGTAAATGCTCCAACACTGGAATATTTTAAAAAGAGACTGGACCACCATTTGTCTGAAATGGTATAGGGTTTCCTGCCTGAGCAGGGGGTTGGACTAGAAGACCTCCAAGGTGCCTTCCAGCTCGATTCTGATTCTGAGGGTGAGGAATTGCCACAAATCCTTGGAAACCCACCATGCCTCTAATCCACTCTCTTTTGATTGCAAACCCCAAATAAGGCAGTTGCAAACCACAAGCCGCCTCAAACACAAGTAATCCAGGAACAGTCAGTTAGATAGTCATCTACAATGTATGGGAACCTTGTACTCCCAATAAGGAGGCAGCCACTAAATGGCTGCTGAAGTTGTGATTAAAGGGCTTCTGTAGCCTGAAGGTCCGGTCTCTTCTAAGGAAAAAAAAAAAAAGCCAACCCTGAGAGAAACTAGCAAATGAGCCATTTTCTTTCTGCTGGATTTGCAACAGCCTTGACTGTTTCAACACGGTGCCCTTGTTCTCTGCTTCCCACCAAAATATTGACTCAGAGACTCGTCAAAGGTCACCGAGAAGATGAGGCTCCACCAAACCTTTGGTGATTTAATGCAGAGGAAATGTCTCCCACAATAGACTTGGTGCTTCCCCAGGAAGATCACGTTTAAGCTAGGAAGATCAGCACTCAGCTGTCTAGGCCAGGGGTCTTCAACCTTAAATACTCAAAGAGCCATTTGGACCCGTTTCCCACAGAAAAGAAAACACCGGGAGCCACAAAACCCTTCCCGTGCCTGACTATTTCTTGAGCGGCCACAAAACTAGCATATGTAGTTGGATTAAACGTTCTGTTTTCTTCTGAAATTTTTCTTTTCTAGGATTTATCCATGGTTGGCCTACCAGGGGTTGAAAAGCCCAATAAATCGTGTGCCGGCGAGTGTCGCACATTGGCAGTTGTGATGCATGTTTTGAGTGACAGAGAGCCACAGCAGAGGGGTGAAAGAGCCACATGTGGCTCCAGAGCCACAGGTTGCTGACCCTTGGGCTAGGCAAAGGAGAAAGGAAGAAGTTCCTTGAGGAGAAGAGAAGGAACTTTGAGGATGGAGGTCTTTCAAGAACAGCGTTTCTCAACTTCAAGAACTTTTGTAGACTGTGATTCCCAGAATTATCCAGCCAGGGGAACCTATCGCCTTTCTTTCTGGGAGCTAAAGTCCACACATCTTAAAGTTGCCAAGGTTGAGAAACACAGTTCTAGAAAAAGGTTGAACAAAAATCCTGAGGATACAATGAAGTCTACCACTGTTCTGCCCCAGCTCCAGATTCCCGAGGATATTGACACACACCAATGGTCCTTATCAAATTTATTAAGTAACAAGAATAAACCAAAGTCTGGCAAAGGTTGGCAACCAGCCCAGAAAACAAGATACGACAAGATTTCCAAAAATGCTCTGATGATAATTACAAGTTGTTTCCAGCAAGAAACTTACTACCGGCGTGTGACTTAAATAGGCTAAGGGAGTGGCCAATTATCCTCAAGCCTTACTCTCGAGGAGACCTCCTCCTCTTGAGTAGCCATTCCTGCCTTTTGGCAGCCCTGCGTGCTCGAGCATTGAGGAGAGGCTCCTCCACTTCACTCTCTCCACTTGAAGGAGCCTCTAGAGGTTCTGAAGGCCCTGGCTGAGTCTCTGCCTCTGGCACCACATCCTCTTCAGCCTCCTCACTGTCCAACACGAGCGCTGGCTGCGCAGGCTGCTGACGCAACTCCACACCAGCCTCCTCGTCATCGGGATCAGCCACGATCTGCGCAGGCCACAGGCGGGCCACAATAACCAGTGAGGTGGTTCATCAGACTGGGATAGTGGTGTAGATACACTACACGGGGAGGTGGTGTAACAGAATAACAGAGTTGGAAGGGACTTTGGAGGTCTTCTAGTCTAACTCCCTGTTCAGGCAGGAGACTCTATGCATTTCAGACAAATGACTGTCTAATTTCTTCTTAAAAACCTCCAGTGATGGAGCACCCACAACTTCTGGATTAATTGTTCTAACTGTCAGGAAACTTGTCCTTAGTTTTAATTGGTTATCTCATCTCCTTGATTAGTTTCCATCCATTGCTTCTTGTTCTACCTAGAGATGCTGTAGACATATCACCTACTGCTCCATGGGGACGTTCAGGTGTAATGAGTAGAAGACATCTTCCTACAAAATTGCCCTGCAGGTTTCTTTCATTCCCAGCAGCCCTTAAACCCCTGGAGTTTATCAAATTCTTGAATTTGTTCAATCATTTGATTATTGAATTATAAATTATGGGATTCATTATTGAATTCACACCCAGTTTTTCTACCGAAGCACATTTGAAGCTTTGGTTGCCTTTCCCAGGAAAACTTGAATGTTTCACCAAGGTGTCATGGTGATTTTAATACCACAGAGAAACACAAACAACATCTGTCTACAAAACTGTCATGGTTGAGTTTGTGTGTAAAGCTACCACCCCCATAACTATGCACACTAATGCTTTCTGAGTCCTGAGGACTGAGGACCTCCCTGAGTCCTTCGGGAGAAGGGCGGTATAGAAATAAAATTATTTATTTATTTATTTATTCTTCTCTCCAAACCAGTTCTCGTGTAAACTGCATGATCAGGCACAAAAACGTGGTTTCTACTACCTTGATCGAGCTGCTTGAAGAGATGGAAGCTTATACCCAATAATAAAGCAATGTACTCTACTTAAAACTTTCGAGCTATGGTGTTGGGATCCAGTTCCACATACTTCTGCCTGTTTTTTGACCTCAGACTAAAGCATTTGAAGAACGGTTGCAGGAACTGGGTATTGTCTAGTTTGATGAAAAGAAGGACCAGGGGAGACATGATAGCAGTCTTCCAATATCTCAGGGGTTGCCACAAAGAAGAGGGAGTCAAGCTATTCTCCAAAGCACCAGAAGGCAGGACAAGAAACAAGGGATGGAAACTCATCAAGGAGGGAAGCAACTGGAATTAAGCAGAAACTTCCTGACAATTAACCAGTGAAACAATTTGCCTCCAGAAGTTGTGGGTTCTCCATCATTGGAAGTTTTCAAGAAGAGACTGGACAGTCCCTTGTCTGAAATGGTAGAGGGTCTCCTGTTTGAGCAGGGGGTTGGACTAGAAGACCTCCAAGGTCCCTTCCAGCTCGATTCTGATTCTAATTCTAATTCCATTAGAACATATCTATATATCCAGAACACATTTGGTGGATGTGCCTTTATACAGGAAGCCCTCGACGTACCACAGTTCATTTAGTGATCATTTGAAGTTACAACGGCACTGAAAAAAGGGACTTATCACCGTTTTTCACACTTTCGACCACTGCAGCATCCCCAGGGTCACGCAATCAAAGTTCAGACTGCTTGGCAACTGGCATGTACTTATGACGGTTGCAACCTTCTTACAAGCCAAATCGATGGGGAACCCAGATTCACTTAACAATTCTGTTACTAATTTAACAACTGCAGAAGATTCACTTAACAACAGTGGCAAGAAAGGTCGTAAAATGGGGCAAATCCTGCTTAACAACGGTCTCGCTTAGCAACAGAAATTTTGGGCTCAATTGTGGTCATCGTTTGAGACTAACCTGTATCCCCAGATCTCCATAAAATTAAGCTACTATCCTGTTTCCCAAAAAATAAGACATCCCCTGATAATAAGCCCAATCGGGCTTTGGAGCACGTGCGTTAAAATCCCCCCCCCCCCCAAAAAATAAGCCCTCCCCAAAAATATTTAAACACATGCGCATCCGGTCCCCGCCATTTCCTCTGGTTAGGGTTAGGGAGACAGAGCTGGAAATCAGGTAAGACGGCAAGAGGAGTCCCGTCTTGCTCCACGCGCCCCAAAATAATAAGACCTCCCTGAAAATAAGGCCAAGCGCTTATTTCGGGGTTCAAAAAAATATAAGACAGGGTGTAATTTTCAGGGAAACACGGTATCTGTGCAAAGCACCTATGTGGGTTTAAAAACCAATCTGTTCTTTAGGATGAACGGCGAAATGCAGATTATGCATTCAGAGGGTACGCTAGACTTGTAAGATGTCCCCCATGGTCATTACTAATTCCACGGATGAATCTCTTTGGGTGCACGCCAGATGTCAAGGCCTCCTGACCAATGCTCAATAAATCTCAGCTCCCATCTCCTCCCGAGTTTACATCTTGTCGCACACCGCAGAGCTCAAACAAGGAAGCCACAAATA